AAAAACCAAGGGATGTGAAAAATCAGACAGGTAAAAAGAAAAAATGAGAAAACAAAAAGAACAACAACAAAAAAAGGATAGCTCAGTAGACTAATGCACCTGCATAGGTAGAACTCAGCAGCCAGGGTTTGATTCCAGGAAGGCCGTGCTGGCCCCACCCCAAGGGCGCACTGAGACAATGATTGAGAATGGGTGTGGTGGTACACACCTGTAATCCCAGCACTTGGGAGGCTAAAAATAGGAGGATCACTACAGTCCAATCTGTGCAACCCTGCTGACCCTGTACCACATACATTTAAAAAAAATAAAAAAAGAAAAAAAGAAAAATCAGACAGGCATTACTACTACTGTAATGGGGGACCACAATTCCCCATTACCACAAATAGATCAACTAGACAAAAATAAATAAATCAAAGAAATATCCATACTGAACCAAACCTTTGCCCAAATGGACTTAGTAGACATCTACTCTAGCCAACAGAATATATACTTTTCTCAGCTGCACAAGACATTCTCCAAAATAGACCATATACTAGTTTATGAAACATGCTTAAATGCAAAGGAATTAAAATTAATGCATGCATATTATCAGACCACAGTGCAATGAAATGGGAAAATAACAAAGGAAACCACAGAAACTAAAGAAACACATGGAAATTAGATAACTTCCTCTCAACCAACAGATCACAGATGAAACTCAGAAATAAGATAGATTATACAATTAAATGATAACACCAATATAACATACTGGAATGCATGAGACCCAATCAAAGCAATTCTACAAGGGAAATTTATAGTGATGAATCCCCACATCAGAAAAACAGAGCTAGCTGAAATAAATAACATAGGTTCAACCTCCAGGTTCTAGAAAAAAGATTAGCAAATTAAACCCAAAACTTCTTTGAGGAAGATTACCAAGATTAAAACAAAATGAACGCAATGGAGGCAAAGAAAACAATATAAAGAAGCAATGAATCAAAGAGGTGATTCTTTGAAAGGCTAAATGAAATAGAAACACTCTTAGCCAAACTTAACAAAAAAAGAGAGAGAGAGAGAGAGAAACTCAGAATTCATCCAATTAGGAATGAAAAGCATGAAATCACAATTGTCCTTTTTTTTTTTTCCAGGGAAGGGTCTATAAGGTGTTCAGTGTCTCACTACTAGATCAGACTTGTAGTGATCTGCCTGTTTACACCCTCCCAAGTGCAGGGATTACAGGCGTGCTCTACCACAACCATCTCAATTGCCATCTCAGTGCACCCTGGTGAGCAGGGCCAGCCCAGGGATCAAACTCCCGGCCCCTGTGCCTACTTGCAGGTGCTTTAATCCGCTGAGCTATTTATTTGGCCGGCCCTAACAAGTTACTATAGAAAGATAGATTATCAATTCCTACTCTGAGAACCTATATTCCAGTAAAATGAAGAATTCAGAAGTGGACAGATTCAATTACCAAAGTTAAATTAAGATATAAAAATTCTAAATATCCCAGTATCAATGAAATTGAAGAATTAAAAAAACAATTGTTAGGGTGTATGTCAAGACACTCCAAGGCCTCATGCAGTCATGAGTAGTGGGCTTTTCAGACGGCTGAATCTGTATTCATGGTCCAATGCTGTTATTAATGGTGTGAGTGCTACAACCACTCTAATGCAGGTATCTTGGGACAGAAAGAGGTTTGTCTCTCTCTTCCTTTGCTTGCTTTGCTGTTTTCCACTGCCATGAATTGCTGCCTCTCTGCTATGTGCCAAAGTACCTTGATGCCAGCTGATTATGGACAAAAACCTCTACAAACTATGAGTTAAATCAACTTTCCCTCTCATAACCTGTGGATGTTATGTGTTTTGTCTCAGGTAGGAGAGAAAAGCAACTGAAACAAATACTAACAAAGAAAAGTTTATGTCCTGATAGATTCACTGCTGAACTATAAGAAATTTAGGGACCTAATCACACCTCCTCAAACTCTGTAATGAAACTGAAAATGAAACAATACTCATGAAGTCATTCCTGGAAGTAAGTATTATCCTGAAATTAAAATCAGAGAAGAGGACCAGCCAGATAGCCCAGTAGATTAAAGTGCCTGCTTAGGCAAATGCAGGGGCCAAGGGTTCGATCCTTGGCCTGCCCTGTCCTGCTGGCCACAACCCTAAGGCGCACTGAGATGGCAACTGAGACTGGGCATGTGCCTGTAATCTCAGCACTTGGGAGGCTGAAAAACAGGAAGGATCACAAGTCCAATCTGTGTAGTGAACCTATCGACCCTATCCTAAATACATAAAAAAAAAAAAAAAAATCAGAGAACAATCCAGCCAAGGAGAAAAAGAGAGAGCTATAGGTCAATCTCCTTAATGAATATAGCAAACAATGCAGCAAATCATTAAGGTTATATACCATGACCAAGTACAATTCACCTAGGAATGCCAGGATGGTTCAACATATAAAAATCAATAAATGAAGTATAACAATTTTATAGAATCAAGGTCAAAATCCACATGATCATCTTAATGGATATAGAAAAATCATTTGACAAAGTCCAGCATCCCTTCCTGATAAAAACCCTACAGAAAATCAGAATACAAAGTCTTTATCTCAGACCAGGGAGATACCCTGAAACTTTCACTCTAAAATCAGGAACAGCTGGGCATAGTAGTGTTCATCTATAATCCGAGCACTCAGGAGGCTGAGACAAAATCACTGTGAATTTAAAGTCAGCCTGCACTACATTTAGTGAGATCCTGTCTCAAAAATCAATCAATCAATCAATCAATCAATCAATCAATCAGAAACAAGACAAGTATGTCCACTATAACCACTCCTGATCAACTGTTTAATACAGTTCTGGAAACAGAACAATTATAAAACAGAAAGAAATAAAGGAACACAGATAGGAAAGGAAAAAGTTAAATTACCATTATTTATAAATGACATTATACTCTACACAGAAGACCTCAAAATTTCCACCAAAAGACTTCTACATAATTAACAAAATTCTGTAGTGCAAAACACAAACTCAACATTAAAAAAATCAACTGTATTCCTGTACACAAAAAACAAACTCACTCAGAGGGGAATTAAGGAGATAGCATATTTCATAATAGCATCAAGAAAAGTAAGACTTGGGGATCTAAAGTAAGAGACCTTTACATTGAAAACTACAGCAATCTGAAAATGGAGATCAAAGAGGTTATTAAAAAATGGAAAGATATCCCTTGTTTTTAGGTAGGAAGAATCAATATAGTAAAAATGGCCATATTTCCAAAACTGTTACGTAGAAACTTAATGCAATCTTGATCAAAATACCAATATACCTCACAGAATTAGAGAAAATCTTAAAATTCATTGAAACCAGAAGAGATCTAGGATAGCAAAAGCTATTCTAAGCAAAAAAGGCAAGGCATGGTGCACCACAATTGCTTACTTGAAATTGTACTACAAATCTGCGGTGATAAAATAGAGCATGGTACTGGTACAAAAACAGACCCAAATATCAGTGGAACAGAACAGAAGATGCAGAAACAATTCCAAACATGTTATCTTTCACAAAGGGGCCAGACAAACCTCACTGGAAGAAAAATAGCTTCTTTAATAAATGGGGCTGGGAAAACTGGCTTTCTACATGCAGAAGAGTAAAACTAACCCCTATCTCTAACCATCCACTAAATTAAAACTGCTATAGCTCAAAGATCTAAATATGAAAACAGGGTGTGGACAAGGTGGTGTTCACCTAAAATGCCAGTACTCAGGGAATCTGAGGCAAGACTGCTACAAGTTCTAGGTCAGCCTATGCTACATAGTGAGTTCAAGGCCAACCTCCCTCTGACTCAAAAAAACAGAAAAATTAAAAGAAGAACACTTAATCTGCCAGAAGACAGAATAGGTAAAACTTTTAAAGCTATAGGTATAGGCAAAGACTTCATGAACAAAACCCCAAATGCATACAAAATATTACAAAGAATCAATAATTGATATCACATCATATTCAAAAAGCTTTTTGCACAGCATAAGAAACCACCAATACGGTGAATAGATAGCCTACAAAATGGGAAAACATTTTACCACCTATTCCTCAAAGGAATGATATGCAGAATATATAAGAACTCAGAAAAACCAGACCCCCAAATGTAAAGACTCAATCCAAAAATGGAAAATTTGAAATGAATAGACACTTCTCAGATAAAGAAGTATAAACATCAAATAAATATAGGAAAAACTGTTCTACATCACTGGTCTTTTGAGAAATGTAAATTAACACAAGGCTGAGTATGCATTTCACCCTGGAAAGAATGGCTATTAGCAAGAAATCAATAACAAATGCTGGCAGGGCTGTGGGACCCTTGCCCATTGTTGGTGGGAGTATAGACCGGTACAACCACTGTGGAAATCAAGTGTGGAGATTCCTTTAAAAATTAAAATTAGAGGTTCCATTTGACCCAGCTTGTCCTAAGTATCTTCCCAAAAGAATTAAAAGCATCATATCACACTCATGTTTAGTGAAATAAATTGGGCACGCAAGTTTAAATATCACATTGTTTCTCTTGTGTGAGAAACCCAAAGGGTAAGATAATCCAAATGGATGACAGATATTGGGCAGTAGAAAGAAAATTTCATGTGGGCGAGAAGGGAGGGTAGAGGGAATAGAAGTAAAACAAAAGTCCTCAAATGATTTCACTGTAATCAAACTCCATGGAAAATTCAGTAATGGTCTGCTTTGACTGCCAGCTTATTTTACCACCTATATAGTACCTTTTCTGACCAACAAAGCTAAAATGTAGCACTCAAATACTGGGGGATAAAATGTTCACCTCACATTATGCTTTAACCTCTCCAAATAGAAAACCACAGCAAACTGTAGCTAGAGGCTGAGGTAGGAGGACTTGGAGCTCGAGGACAGAACAGGCCCAAAGGTGAATTTAAAGCTGGCCTGAATTACACAGCAAGACCCTGTTTCAAAAGCACAAGAGAACAGAGCGCCAAGCTCCCCTGAGCCACAACCACGCGCTCACCTGGCTCGGCTGCATGCTGCCCTGTGCAGCTCCTGCAGCAGCTGCCCAGCGCTCTCTGGCTCCTGGCTGGCTGCTTGCAGCAGTGCCTTCCTCAGTGCCAACCTGCATCTCTTCTGCCTTGACTCCGCCCGTGCCAGGCGGCAGAGGTGCTTGTATTTCTGCTGAAAGTAAGTGCAAAGTTGGGTCACCCTGGAGCTCCTGCTGTCCACATCATCTTCGTCAGACCTGGAAAGTGCAGAGAAAGAAGTGAAAAAGTGTATACATCATGCTCATTATTGGGGAAATGTGAATAGGGATACACAGGTTTACAACTGTTCTGAGATGTAAGAATGTTCTTTTAAACAGCAGAAAAAAAGATCCAGTAGATCTATTGCAAAACAATATTTCAGCCAAAAGCAAGGCAACAGAAACAATCCAATGCTTTAAGCTTAACCTTCTCAGTACGTCAACACACTAGGTCTAACTCTTAAATGAATAGGAACTTAAATGAAAGTAATTTCTTTATCTTTATTTACTAGGGAAAGTATGAGCAGATGAATGGCACTTACGAGAATCCATTCACCAACATGTCATAAAGTCACAGATGAAACACAGCACTGAGAGCCAACAGAACAGTGCTGAAAAAATGGCCCTTTAATCCAAGCTGTGGCTTAAATAGCCTTTAAAGAATCTGGATTGTACGGTACAACTCATATTCATTTTCTAGTGATAACTATAGCCATACGCTAAACAGCTTTTCAGAGAGCAGAGATTAAGTACACATTTTCCGATCATGTTGCTAATGGGATTAGTGATGCTGACTGTTCATTGGAGTCTAGGCTCAACAGAGAACAGCTTTGGTTAATCAGCACTGTGTACCACCAGCAAGATTACAGTCGTCATAGTTCTTTCTTTTTGTCGAGACAGAGTTTTGCCACATAGCTCAGGCTGGCCTTAAACTTACTATGGTGCCTAGGCTGGCCTGGAACCTGAAGTGCTTCTCCTATCTCCTCAAGTGCTGGGATTACAGGCATAGCCACCCTGCCCAGTAAAATGTTCACAGTTCTACGAAAAAACGTGGTGTCATTTTATATTATTGATCACCTACTACTACCTGTTATTTTATATTCTTTCTCTTCTATCATAAGTAAACCACTTGGGGCTGGGGAGATGGCTCAGTGGAATAAGCGCTTCCCTGGCAAGCACAAGGGCCCGAGTTCAATACCCGGTTCCACCAGAAAAAAAAAAAAAAAAAAAGTAAAACACTTATAATCTTCTTTTACAGATTATTGCTTTTGTTCCCTCAAGAGGCATTAGTCGTCTTCCTTTCTTTTTGGTACTAGGGATTGAACTCAGGACCTTGCACTTACAAGGCAGGTGCTTATGTGGCTGAGCTATCTCCCCAGCCCTCTTCTTTCTTCCAGAATAGCCTGTAACAAGCTATTCTATAAACTTCTTACAATCTCTTCTACAAACATGACCTCTATGGTAAAGTATTACTACAGAGAAATAGTAAGATCTTACTTCAACCTTCACTTATTCAACATTTACTGTATGTATGTTACACTGAACACCAAAGAACAGAGAGCAAAAGTTTCAAAATGTTTGCAATAAAATTTAAACAAACAAAAACCACTTTGCAAAATTAAATAACTCAAGGGGCAAAACTCAATAAATAAAACAGTGGGTCACACAGACCAACACACTCTTAGAAAAATACTCTTAGAAAAATCTAAGAGTATTTTAAGATTAAGATGTTTAGTCAGGGATGGTGGCACACACCTTTAATCTGGCACTTGGGAAGCTGACGTGGGAGCACTGAGAGTTCGAGGCCAGCCTGGGCTACAAAGTTAGTTCAAGATTAGCCTGAACTGCAGAGTGAAACCCAGTTTAAAAA